ACCTCGCAGGCCCTTGAGCGGGATAACCAGTTGGTTGAGGCGCTCGCCTTTGCGGCCACCGCTCGTGGCCAGGTATACGAAGTCATGTCAGAAATGGCAGCCTGCCTGGGCCACAGTCAGCTCGCCGCCTTCTCTTCCCTGTTAGGAGCGCGCGCGCGGGCCGTTTTCCTCGAAGTTCTCAAGAAGAGCTTCCCTATCGTGGGATACCAAAATGATACCGTTTCCTGTCTCCTTACCGTACTGTCCGGAGGGAGGCAGTATTGGGATATTTCTCCCAAGAATGCACTGTCCCCAAACCAGGAAGTTGATTCTGTCATGCTGCGGGATGACGAGCTCAAGGAGAACTATCTCTTGCAAGCTCGCAGCCGTTACCCTTACGAATTCCTGCCCTTCGTCTCATTCACTCGGGCTCTGTTGACGGGCCTCCTCGCAGACAGCGAAAACTCCGAGTGGGTGATTGGTCTGCTCCTCAAATCTCCCACCTTGACCTTGGAATGGAGTCCTGACTGGGTTAACTACGAACTCATCTTCGAGGATGAGAACATCAACTCCTTCCAGTTGATTGGCGACCTTGACCTCTTCGATACCTCCAAGGTTACCAGGAGGCGCCCCGAAAAGGAGGAAAAGTTTACCATTCCTGCCGGCACTGTTGGACGTTTCATCTCGGATAGCGAGAGGATCGCCATACTGGAATACGAGCACTCGGCCCTGGCCCTCCTGGGCAAGCGTCTTGAGGTGTCTTTGAAGGCTGACGCATACAGCAGTGCACTCCCGGGACTTAGTGCTGACGAGGTGGCGGAATCGGTACTACTTTTGGCAACCGTTGTCCGAGTCGAGACTCTCAGGACTGCCGTGACCGTTTCGAGGGCTGGCTCCGAGGCTGGCATGGCAGTCTTGAAAGAGGCGAGCAGAGCGCTACCACACACCAAAGACATCCTGACGGTTGTCTGTGACCTTATGGACACCATCATTCAAGACGATCTTGTCAACGTTGATGGCCCCAGAACGGCGGTTTCGGCAGCCTGCTTACAGTTCCTTGATGCCGCACTGCCTGTGTGCCCAGGCAGGGTTTGGGCTTACATGTCTAGAACTGCCCTCATCAATGGCGAGACAAGAGCTGGACGGCTGTCGAGGATTACCGGAAACCTTGACATGTTGTCTGAGCGCTTCGACTTCCTTTCTTCCGCCGTCAAGTTTTTCTCGAACCTGATTGAAATAGCAATGCTCGGTGCAGTTCAGCGCAAGGTCGTGAAGGAGACGAATGCTCGTTCCAACGTCGACACAAACGCATGGCTAGGAACAAGCGAAAAGGTGATCTCTCGGGTCTCTCTTGCCATCGCCCAGACCGCGGTCGATATCATCGAGAATTCGGCCACGTGGAGATTCCCATCCGAGCTGGACCGCAGTGTCGTGGTTCGTGATGTGGTGGGTATTATGCAGAAGCTCCTTTCATACACCTATAACCTGAGCGCGAGCGGGCCTTCGAATACCTTGACTGGCTCTCTTGAACCTGCTGCTAGATACGTTCTCGAAAGCTTTGTCACCGCTTCGTCAAACTCACTCCGATTCCAACCTCTTCTAGCGACACTTCTTGTTGCCTTCCAAATCCCTGACTCAACTCTTTACCCCCGCCGGGCTGCCGTCGTCTCGGAGAGGCTCTTAGTTGTCCTTGCCTTTGCAACCATTCTCCTCCGGGTTTCCAACTACCTCGATCTGCCTGTCAGCAAGCTCCAGACGCAGCTGTTCAAATCTGCGTCTCTGGTCGCCCGTCTTCCTGCCATCAGGCTGTCCTTCAAGATACCGGCGATAGCTCTCCTGAGTGCGCTGGTAGAAAGTGCCGGGAAGGGCAACGCCGAACCTCCATCACTGCTGGGATACCTTGGGCCACAAATCTCGCGGTCATTCATCCAGATCACTTCACAGCTGGACAAGCCGTTTGACAGGGTACCAGAGTCGGTCAGTATATGGAAGTTCTTTTCGACAATAATGCGGAATCGCCAACAGTGGATGGCAAACTGCCTCCTTACAGGAAAGACTCCTCGCGAGGCCTTGAAGGGGGATGGCAAGATTGCAGAAATCTCTCCCGACTCGGTTCTTTCTACGGCCATCGAGAAACTTCGCTCTATCAAGAAGTTGCCAAGCCGAGAGGCCATCGCCATTCTGGACTTTTTCACCTCGGCCCAGAACTACTGGCCTTGGACGATCTTCGCCATGCAAAAGGATACGTCCTTCCTGACCGACCTCCGAGCATATGTCCGCGATCTCAAGTCGCCCTCGATGGTCTCTAGGACAGACCCCAAGGAGGCTGCCTACCAGGCGAGGATAGCAGCTTACATCGCCGAGGCATTTGCCATGCAGCTGTACCATCTGCGTCAGATGCGGCAATCACACAAGTTTGCGAACGACGTCGTGAACGATCTCGATTACTTCCTGCGTAACGGAGTTGAGGTTTCGGGGTACAACGCCTCGTTGCATTCTAACTTTGCAAAGAACTTTAGCCAACGATACCCGGGAATTTCGGTAGAGGATTTCAAGAGGACAGTTCTTGTTCCTCGTGATCTGGGTTCCCAATTTTACTATGCCTTGGAGTTTGCCGACTTGATGCTCAGTTACGACGTGGCATGGGATGGGTCGCGCAAGAACGGCTTCAAGCATGAGATGGAGAGGGCTAATGTGAACTTGTCTCTGGTGGAGGCTGAGATTGTAAGTTTTTCTGTGTTTTCTCTCGGGCAATAACAAACACTAACAATCATTCAAGGCCCTTTTCCATGCTTGGGAGTATCTACTTCTAGAGCTTAGCGTCTCGCTTCTCCCCAAAAACGAAACCGTTGCCAAGCAGATGGCACAGGTCGCTGAGCAATGTCTGGATGCCAACCAACGGGCTCAGCCGCCAGACAACATCTTCGTCCGATTGGTTCACGCTCGGGCAAACCTGGCTTTAACGCTTCTTCAACGCCTCGCTGATGCTTCTCACCTGCCTAAAGACAGCACCAAGCTGCTCACCAGCATCACAAGGGCCATCAATAATATTGAGGTTCCCTTCGACAAGGACCAGATCTCCTACTTCCGCACCCTCCTCAAGATCCTCTTCGTCGCTCTCCGTGGAACCAGACACTCGGCCAATGCCCCTGCGCCCGGCGCCTCCACCTTGTCGAAGTCCGGTGGTGAGAGCAGCTCCGTGGCCGTCACCCAACTGACCCTCAGCATCCTTGACCGCGTCGTCGCCCAATCCTTCAGGTCCCTCGTCGCGCTGGTGCACGAGCCCACCTCGCCCACCACGCCCGAGGACCTTGCCCTCATCACCGCGATCCTGCAAGCCTGCCTGAGCGTCCCCGGCATTGACCAGTGCCAGGTGCAAATCCTCAACATCATGGCCAGCCACGACGTCTTCCAAGTCGCCACCTCGCTCTTCTCCTGGGCCGACAAGCTGACGGACAAGTCGGGCGACCCCATCTACGGCGAGCTTTCCTTGCTCTTCCTGCTTGAGCTCTCCTCCATGCCCACTATCGCCGAGCAGCTCGCCTGCGACGGCCTGCTAGACCACATCACGTCCGCTAACGTCGCCGGCTTCATGCGCCGCCCCAACGTCGGCCCTCTAGCTGACAACGCCGGCGCCGCCCGCTGCTACTCCATCTGGGCCAAGGGCATCCTGCCCCTACTACTCAACATGCTCGGCGCCTTGGGCGCCACCATCGCCCCTGAGATCGCTTACGTGCTGAATCAATTCCCTAATCTGTTGCGCGCGGCCGTGGATCGGTTCGAAGCACCGGGCACCCACCGCACCTTTTCGCCCTCCAAGTCCGTTTCTATGTCCGGTGGTCCGAGCAATAACAAGGACATGTCTGGCTTCATCACCCTAACCGCCATTTCGGAAATCCACTCCCTCGCCCTCCTCACGCGCGTCCTGTCAGTCATCAGGATGACCAATGTCGGCGGCCACTCGGCAAGAGACATCCCGCAGATTACCGGAGGGTGGGAAGACGAGGCCAGACAAAATCTGTTGGAGAATGTGGAGTTTTGGCTGGGGAGCAGGAAGGTGTTGAGGGAACGGTTGGTGCCTTTGGGGCAGAGGGAGATGGAGTGGAGGAGCCAGAAAGCGTCGGAGGGGTCGGCGTGTGAGAATAAGTTGGAAGAGAAGGCGGTGGAGATGTTGAGTGGTGTGGCGGAGGTGTTGGCGTTGGGTGAGGCGGAGGAGGGTGCGTAGAAGGTGTTTTACAGTCATTGAGGGACGGAAGTGATGATGATGGTAAAGGAGTGGATGTTGTAAGGTGGTGATGTGTTATGGGACGCTGCGGTATGATGGATGAATGTGTGTAAAAGTAAGGGAAATGGTTGAATTGCTAGGCAGTGTAGCAGGAGACTGAGTTTATGTGTTTTTGTTTACTTCAAGTCGTAAGCGGTATTGAAAAGGTGGTGTGTTACTTTGCACAGCTGATGTTTGGGCGTGATTGCCCTGATGGTTTTAGGTTCATATGGCATTTTGAATGGTTACCATTGAAAAAGCTCTTTTGGGTGGCTATGCGCATGATGACCGTACAGTTTGGAAATTCATTCGTGAGGGAGTCGCCCGTCCTCTAGTCATTAAGTAAGGGGAAGGTTTATTGCCCATGCAATCCCACAAATCACAATGTGACCACTCAGAAAAATTTGTTGTATCATCACACACAGCCAGATTTGAATATCTTGACTTTTGTATGGATCCGTTTTTGTTGCCAATATCTTCGCTTCAGTCTCTTTTCGTTACCACACATCATGTACCAGATCCCTCCCCGTCGGTATCACGCTTCACAACTATCAGAGGTACAACAATAATGGCTACCTCCGTTGTCCCGTTCAATGCTTTTTGTAATAATTGTCATATCCGTAGATGTCGAAAAAAAAGCACCTTCATCTTTCCTACTTACCTAGCCAAAGCTGGCAGAAACTAGGACTCATCTTCGACACCATCCATCCCAGGTATTCAATACCATCCATCTCCCCCTCTCCCCCCCCCCCCCCCCTTCTTCTTCTTCTTCTTTCCATATCCATCCACAACAGAAAACCGGTATTCCTCACCACCTCATTCTGCACCCAACCAGCACCTTCACTCACAATATCCTTTACGGTAGGTATGGTACGCATGCATGCATGCGCACCTCGACTCATCGTCGTCAACCCAATTTATTTCCCGAACCTATTTATACACATTTTTTTTTTTCCCTCAACCCCTCTTCCTTCCTTCCTTCCCCTTCTCCTTTCCTTGTAGTACAGTGTATAATTTTTACCGCCTCTGCATCTCAGCAGTCATGGCAGCGTTGAGCTCGCCAAAGCGCTCGCCCAGGCGCGTCTGTGTGGACATGGACTTGAGCACGCAGCGGCTGATGCAGCCGGACTCGCGGCCGGAAAGGGCCTTGGAGGTGAAGTCGTCGACGCAGGCGGTGAAGCAGTTGTCTACGAGGTTACCGAAGACCTGTTTGTTGTTAGAAGAAAGAAGAGAGGGAGGGGAATGTTAGTAAGAGGTTTGGTTGGTTTTGGGATAGATGGGAGAGCAGCAGAGGCTTGGAGAGGGGTGGTGTTGGATGGGGAGGATGGATAGGGAAATTGAGGTGTGACAGTTCGGAAATAGGTGGAAAGGAAGGAGGAGGAGGAGGAGGAGGAGGAGGGGTGGAAAACAGTTTGGGAGTAAGTGCGAGTAGATGGGATAGTTGGGGGGGATGGTGGAAGACCGGGGGATAAAAGATTGGTGATGACGGTAGCTATGTTTGGATCTAAGATGTAGCGACGCCTCGAAGATGGAAGAATATTGGTGGCGCAAATGTGTAAAGAGGAAAGAAAGTGTGTATATACGACGTACACTCATAAACTCCTTGACCTGGCGCTTCTGAAGGCGCTGGTCGAGCTCGCGGCTCTCGGCGGCTGTAAGTCTGTTTTGTTGGAAAGTTTGACGATGACGTTAGTTTTGGGTTTCCAGTCTTGTTCTCCTTGTCCTAAAAAAAAAAAAAAAAACAGAAACCACAAGGTGACTGTTGTTTCCCTTGCTCTCTTGCTTACCCATCCATTGTTGTCGACTTGGTGTTGTGGTTCGGTGATGATTCCGAACTCTCGGGGATTTTCGAGTTGTAGTATGGATGTAAGGTCCTGGTACGGTTGGCAGAGGTGGAATCGATAACGGATGGATGGATGGATAGATGTCGATGTCGTACCTGGGGCCCGCTGCGCGCGACGGGCAGAAACGAGTCGGATGGATTGAAGCTGCAGTTCTAAAAATTCACCGCCCGGCAGAGAGCTCGCTGCTTGGCGCTTGGCAGCAAGGCTTGGCAAGACCGGGGGATACAGTAGCAAAGAAGGTCTGTGCGCTACCAACGTTCGCTTTTAACATTGTACCTACAGTAAGAACCCCTGCTTTTGCAACTAATGCCGGCAGCCCAGATTTTTTGCAAAAGAGGGGGGTTTGCAAAAGGGAGGACAGGAGCACAGACCAGGTAAGAGTCTTCTAGCCACTCAGCAATAGTTAGAGGTACTAGAAAGTGGATCTCCTAGAACTATTAGACCCCGGTATATGGGTATAAGAGTGCCCGCCCCACCAAATTCGACCCCTGCTTTTGCAAATCCGGGCTGTTAGCGTTGCAAATTGTAGGTTGCAGGAATTACCACCAGAGGGAATGCAGGCAGTCGAAATCTTTTGCAAAAGGGGGGATTTTGCAAAAGGAGGGGGTTGCAAAAGCAGGGATCTTCACTGTACCACTGCACTGCACAACTGCAGGCAGCTCAACCAGCAGTCTTCACTGCAACCATAGCCGACGCCAACGGTGAGGAATGACATCACTCCTTACGATCCAACACAGGGCAACAACCTCTCGGAGACGGCGCCAACTGGAGGGACCACCACTAAAAACAGACATTTACTATGTATAGGCAAACAGAAGAGCCTCACTGGCACTTTGTTATCTGAGGTTTTGCCTTTGTCTTGCCTGTGGACAATAAAATCCCCATTAGGTTTCCGGCAATTCGTCCCTGTATCACCCACCATTCAGCAGGGCGGGGAAGTGAAGGGAAGGACTGATTGTGTGCAACGTATGGTGTTGTACAACGACGGCATGTCCGCTGGCTCATAGGGACTGATGTCCATTGGGCTGCTTTATCTCTCCGTGTCTTGTGTCGCCGAAAGGCTTCGTTACTTTGGCCATGGCTTTGTGGTGAGAAGAAAAAAAAAGGTGCTGGGATGTGAGCCATTTCTCCCATTGCTGGTTATTTGCGGTTAGTGAGATATGGTGCGGACGTCCTCTTTCTTCATTACTGCAGTGTTCATCGCCTTTTAAGTGCTTACTTACACTGGTGTGTTCCCGGAAATCAAAACACCAACATATCGTGGGCTTACATGCAGCCTCAGCCAAAGTCAGCCTATGACGTCCACCCGGGAAGGATCTCGTGTTCAGGGAGGAATATGTCTTGCCCGCATATGAAAGATGAAACAAGACCCGCAGTTGATGGGTGCAACATGCTTTTTTACTCTCAAGCCGTTGTGGCAATTTGAGGTGGCCTTGTTTGTGACCCATCCCCAATCGTTATGGTTTTGATACATCCACACGCACAACTTGGCTTGGAGGCTCTAGGTGGAGCTGCCTTGTCGCGGCAAAAGCTCGGTCCGTCGGCTATACTAAGGGGTGAATCGCAATCTGATATGTTTTTAGGCGGCTCAGGTCAACTTCATCAAGCGGTGAGAATACAATGAGCCGAGCGTGAACTCGCCCATGTCTACGCTACGAAGCTCAAAGTTGGGGTCTGAGGATAGATACGAAAGGTTGCTGAAGCTGTGGGAATTCTTCGCACGGTGAACGCGACTGCGGACTCTGGCGGCGAAGCGAAGCCATTTTACCATCTCTTGTCAAGTGTGGCGCATGACATGTTCATGCTTGGTCTTTGGCGAAGTGAGGGGGAAACTCAACCTTGACCACATGAGCATGTTTCGCTTGTCTCACCATCTCCTCTCTGCCGACCAAATGTCATCTTGTCGTGAACTTGCAACGGGACGGACGCTCTGTGGCCTAGTGTAGTTCCCCTCTCCCCCAATCTGGAGAACAGCACACTAAAGTGTATGTAGTTAGGGTTTCCGAGCTCTTGCGGGCGTGCCAGGAATGATGTGCGTTGGAGTCTTGGGAAACCACGCGACTGTACGGGGAAAGCAGTCGTTGGTCATAGTGACAGTCCAATTGAGTCTGGACTTTGAATACCGGCTGCGGTCCCAGCTGGGCGATCAGAGACGATCGCGGCTTCAAAACGCTTTCCATGATTCAAGTTGTGGACAGATGGGGTGTAGTATCGTGGGCACCTCTTGGACCCTTGCAAGGCCTTTGACCTGTCAGGTGAGCAGCCATCAACTCTAAGCGTTGGGAATCTTTCCTTTGTTTGGAGAGGCGAAAGTGACGACGATGCACGCTTCGCCATTCGTGTCCTTTCTGCAAGCTTCGTTGGGTATTCATTGTGGTGTCGTGTTGTCTTTGCTGTTGTGATTTTTGAGTTTACAGTTCGGTGTGAGCGAACGGCGGGATCTTTTGCCTTGGGGAACATGATTCGTGCGAGCACTGTGTAGGTACTATATTTGGAATTATGGATTGGCGGCATCGTGAAATCCAGTGGCTGTTTTCCAGCACTTGACAGTTCAAGGTGGATTTTGGTGGGCAAGATGGTGGCTGGGCTGCTGTTGAACAGAGAGGTTGGAGCGCAACAAAAAGGAAGAGAACATCCACAATGATATTGGACAATGGAGAGAACAAAACTGAAGCATCATGATCCCCTCTCCACACCAGCTAAGGACTGTCTGAGAACACTGAAATATTTCAAACTCAAAACGCTGTCGAGTACAAAGGGAAAGGACAAACCAAGTGGAAACGACGCCTGCCCTGTGCGCCGGTTACACCCACTAACTGCGTGCTGCGTGCTGCGCAATGCACCGAGTCGCCGTATGTTGCCCGCTGCAGTGAGAAACACTGCACTTGGTGGTACCTTTACGCTGACCTAGTACGTCATTCCGTCCCTTCCTGTTGTTGAACGCACTCCCAACCTAATTGTGCGTCGATCTTGTCATACAATGTCCAAATCCCATCATGACAGACGGTTTTGTTTCAACTGTTCATAGACATGCACTACTGTAATAAAGTGAAAGTCAAGTGGACTCACTCCGGATTAGGGTCATGTGCTGTGGTGGATCTGACACTTATGGCAGTTGGAAGCAAGGTGCATGTACGCGAAGGTTTAGTTAGGAGAAAACACCCGCCATCTTCTCGTGGATGCCAATGTCTAACACAAATTAAGCAGTCGAACATCCAAGACAATAGTCAATAGTCTAGAATATCCCCTCCCATCCGACAGTGGAAAACCGGAGATCGAATGCCGAAAAGGTTGGAGATGTGAGGTTGTATCATGACAGGATCTAGACCTGTGCCATTGAAGTCTGGAGTAGTGTACATTGTCTACCTCCTGTAGCAGGTAGGTACTTCTGCACTAATGCCAGGGGACAGACAGTCAGATGGTAGTATATATCAGAGGCGAGCACAGCCGTTGCCAGGACATGGCTGCTTTCCATTGCAGCAAGAGACGTTGCAGACTCAGGTTGGAACACTGGCTATCCTGGATAACTCTACAATTATTTATCGGTGTGAAACCCTCAGCCGTAACAGATAGAGGTAGGTCAAGAGATTGATTTGCGATCTCGGTTGTATTTTCCGGCGTTATTGTAAACACAGGACCTTGAGGATGAGGTAAGGCACGACATTCCAAATCGATCCAATGCGGCAGGAAAAGGGATCGGATGGGTTGTGGTGCAGTAACTTGTAAGAAATAATCATAATGAAAAAAAATGAAAAAAAGAAAAAAAAAAAAAAAAAAAAAAAAGGCTACAGGCGACTGGAGTGCTGCAGCGGCCCGGCACTGCACTGCCAAAGTAGATACAGTGTGACAGAAATGCATCCACACAGTGGGTGAAACCGCCCCGGAGACGGAATGAAGCCATTGATCCCCTGTTGCTCTTTCCCAAATCGTTTTCTCAGTTGTGAGGGGGAAGTGGAAGCAAAAGCCACAGCTTCAGTTGTCAAAGGGCCCGGCCATCTTTTTTTTTTTTTTTTTTTTTTGTGTGTTTGTGTGTGTCATTTTTTTTCTTTCCTCTTTAGTTCAGTTCAGTTGTTCCATTCTGTATGCGACGGATGCATTGGAATGAGATACAACGTCCCCAGTTACCTACCTGCCACTCTCCCTGCCGGCCAGATCGGCCACCCACCTTGGTCAGCAGTGTTACCAGCACCATTCTCTCACTACACAGGGAAAACGGGTACCCTATACAGGACGAAACAGACGGGACCCAGACGAGACGAAAGCAAAGACACCCGACGTCCCGGTCGCCCCGGCGACGAACCAGATCTTCCGAGATCCCCTCCCACACAGTCTTCCCCTTTCTCCCGGCGCCCTATACCGTCTAAACCGTCTGTACGGAGCCATCTCCTGAGCAAACAGCTTTGCGACCAGGTTGAAGCCCTTCGACAACCGGGTTCGCCTTCCCTTCCTTCTCCTTTTTCATCCATTGCGACAATCCACGCCCTTGGTACATCCGGAAGGGCTTTCAGCTCGCCAGCCACCCCCCGGCTTAGGTTCCAGTGCGCGGGTCCTCCAACTAGGTGGCTTCGATCAGCCTGGCCAAGGAAGTGGGCGAGCAGGAACAGGAACAGGAACAGGAACCGACAGGACTGGTCACGTCAAGACAGGAACAAGAGAATCAAAGACCACACAGCCAGACAGGGTTCCATTGCCGCCAGCCGCCCCGTCAAACCGTGCGTGCGGTGCATTTCCACTTCAGTTCAGTTGCATGGATCCCATATCCACTGCCAACCACTATCCGGCAGGTCGTCAGCGTCCACTACAGCACTCCAAGCTGCATCGCGTCGCAGACAAACCTCCTTCTTACAACTTTGACCTACCTCGCTCGACCTTGATACCGGTACATACTGCTGCTGCTGCTGCTGCTGCTGCTACACTACACGCTGCTTGTGTTGCTGTTACTGCTGCACAGACTTTAGCCTGACAGGCAGTTTGAAGCAAGCCTGCATCCTCCCATTTCGTCTTCGCCTCGGCTGCCCCACGCGCATTCCCCCGGTTGCTCAACGTCCTCCTTCCGCCGTCATTGTCTCCCAGTCCTGCAAGTTCGAGTCCACAACGTCGTCCGGTTTTGCCATCTTTTTCTGCCACGCGTGGGTGACTGTCGACCGCCTCCCTCAGCGTCTGCCTTTCCGGCACCCGACTGATTCGGCACCGTCCCGTCCCGTCACCACGCCCGCCATCCCTCCTCCGTCGTCACACGGTCACCGTCATTGCCGTCAACCGCCATGACGTCCGCCGCCGCCGCCGCGCCCGTCGCGCCCGCCCATGGTCCTCCACCACCGCCTCCAACCTCCTCGCAGACGCAGGCGCAAGCGCAAGCGCAGGTCCACGTTCAGGCTCAGGCACAGGCACAGGCACAGGCACGGACACAGGCACAGGCACAGGCACAGGCCCAGGCCCAGGCGCATTCGCACTCGCATACCCAGTCGCTGTCGCAGCCGCAGCATCGAGCATACAATCCCTACAGTGCCTTTGCGCACCAGCCGCAACCTCCACTCCCCACAAAGCGAGACCTCAAGTCGTGGTGGAAAGGCTTCAAGCTACCCTCGAAGCATCAGGAAGCACACGGTATAGCCACCCCGTTCACTAGATCTAAACCCTACCGATCAACATCCTTATTTGCGGAGGATAAAGAAGGCTGTCTAAGCGACCTGCCGGAAGCTGTGGCCCTCTTGCAGGAGATAGTTGCGCAGGAGCTCCTCATCGCAGCCCGAGCGAATGCCCGATCTCAGCAAACAAGTGTGAGCTTAAATCGGATGTCTACTGGCGCACTTTTCAATGAGAAGCCTCTCCAACTAGACACTCTTGCTCGCTTCCTGAACTGGCGTCTTAGTAGAAGATGTACTGGCGTAAATGGACCCTGGCCGGTGCAGGACTCCGCTAAAACCAAATCAGTAGTAGCAGAACCGCCCAAAGGCATCTTTGGCGTCCCCCTTCGCGATAGCATCAAGTATGCCAATGTTGCCATATCCCTTGTCGACGAAAATGGGAAAAGCTACATCTACGGTTACGTCCCCATCGTGGTTGCCAAATGTGGTGTTTTCTTGAAGGAAAAGGGTTCGTATAGCATCCCCCCGCCCTCTCCCCCCCCCCTTTCATCCTGTGGCATACCTTTGGAGAGTCCTAACTTTTCATCCAAGCAACCGACGTTGAGGGCATCTTTCGTCTCAGTGGTTCAGAGAAAAGGATCAAGGAACTCAAACACATCTTCGATTCGCCAGACCGATACGGCAAGGGGTTGGTGTGGGATGGGTACACAGTTCACGATGCCGCCAATGTCCTCCGTCGCTACCTCAACGACCTCCCGGAGCCGGTGGTCCCTCTCGAACTATATGAGGAGTTTCGAAAACCGTTGAAAGGGGCCACTAGGCAGGCCGCAGGTGATACCGATGGCCCCCAGTTTGTCGAGAATTTCGACATGGACGCCGCCATCCTCAGATACCAGCAGCTGATTACCGAGTTGCCGCCACTCAATCGCCAGCTGATGCTTTATATCTTGGACTTGCTCGCCGTCTTCGCCGCCAAGTCTGACGTTAACCGCATGAACTCGCAGAACCTGGCTGCCATTTTCCAGCCAGGCATGCTCTCCCATCCGGCCCACGCTATGGCACCCGAGGAGTATCGCCTCAACCAATGCGTCATTATATTTCTCATTGAGAACCAGGATCATTTCCTTATCGGCATGCAAGGTACAGCGGCCGATGAGAGGACGGTTCAGGAGGTCCAGAAGGGGACGCCTACCATCAATGCCCCGGAGATACCAAAGAACTATCAACCTGGAGTGAACCGAACAGCATCAAATGCCAGCGCTGGAGCCGAAAGTGTTTCCAAGGAAGGCATGATTAGGAGAAATAAGTCGACATCCTCAAGGCGTTCTCTTGCTTCGAATGGAGCGCCGAGTCCTGGAAGCCCTGCATTGACTTCCACACCTACGGGAGGTTTGGGCCGGAGCAACACCTTGCCATCGAAACGATCGCCTCGCGTACCGCCCGGAAGATTCGCGCATCGATATGATGCGTCTAGTTCCCCAGTCGGCCCCTTGACGCCGGTTCATCCGCCGTCAGTTCCTGGAGTTACGCCTCCTACGCCGACAGTACTGCCACCAGCGCCAGCGGTTGTTCACGAGGTCGCTACACCCCCGGAAGAATCTTCGGTACCATCCATAGCCACATCCACAGCTCCTTCGAGTTTGCTACCTAATCATTCTGTCTCGGCTACCAGGAGTCAGGAAAAGCTGTTAGATGCTGAGGCCGAGGCCGCAACGCCCTCCAAGGAACGCCGCATACCCAACATATCAAATATCTTCCAGAGGGCGCCCACTGGGGAAAACGAACTTCGACAGCCTAACAAGCTGAAGAAGAAGATGCCAGGAGCCGGAGGTCATTATAGTGCTCATAGCTCGACGATGTCGCTTCCTCGCTCAGCAACAGCATCGCCCAGTGTCGAAGCTGCGAATCCCATGGATACGGTTCCATCCTTGCCCGGAAACCTTGATGCGGTAGTGTCGGGCGGACAACCTGCGCCTTCCCCCAGCGACTCTACGCCGAAGGCATCCCAGGTACCTTCTACGCCCTCAACCACCGTGCATCCCCACAATGCCTCTGAGGCACAACTCAAACCACGAGAATCTCCGCCGACTTCGGTCACGTCATACAACGATATGTCTGATCCTGATCAGGTTGAGACGCAGACTTCGGCTAGTTTGGCCAGCCCAGAGGTGGCATCCCCGGACAGGGATAAGAGGAGGCGGTGGCGCCTATCGAGGAAAAAGGAGGACAGCATATCCTTGAATTCTCCTCTCAACATTAGCCAGCCTCTTATTTCCCCGCGTATGCTTGGTTCGAATTCGCAGGCTGAGGGGAGCAACAGTTCTGTAGGCAGTTCTGGTTATTTCCATCACAGACCCCGGGCAAGCATGAGCGGGGATGTTTCTGACGCGGGCATGATAAGTAGCCTCGATGACCGTTCGATGATGAGCGACGCAACCAGAGAAGGCAGAGACCGTGACCGAGACAGGGACTGGGACAAGAGTAGTGAATACCGCAAGTCAAACATTGCCGACTGGCTGAAAAACAAGTACCGCGAGCATAGGGAGACAGCGGAACTAAGAAGGACCAAGTCGCCACCAGCACATGATGGTAGATCGGCATCCATTGGGGAACGAATCCGCAAGAGCCTGGATATGAAGCGGGAGACGATCAACGGAAGCGAAAATGGGTATAGCGATGAGCATATTCCGATGCCACCACCGCCCATGCGGGAACCAGGACCGGCACATTCACAGACATCCATCCAATCTGCTGCTCAACCTGTCCAGCAAGTTCAACCACAGCCGCTGCAAGCTCAGCAACCCCCAGCACTTTACCAGACTGAAGTGCAGTCGGTCAAGGTGCAACCTGTCGTGCAGGAATTTCCAGCCCAGATTCAGCCCAATTTCCAGCCAGAGCAGCCTTTGTCACAACACCCTCAACCCCAACAGGCTTCGGCACATCAATCGCAGCCCCAACTGCAGCAAGAGCCTTTGCCCAAAACACCAGAGCAGCCGACTGAAGCGTCCGTGCTCACTCCCTCAAGGCACATGGATCTAGATGAGTAAAACAGCCGATGCAAGCCTGATGAACAGGGCACAGTATTCTACTAGTGTTCAAGTCAATCATACCCGTCTTGTGGTCTACCATACAAACTATCACTCCGTTTTAATGTCTAACTTAGTTTATCTCGGATGGTCTTTTTTCTGCTGCTTTTCTCTTTTTATTTTTTTATCTTCTTCAGCGCAAGAGAGCGGGTCAGGTCGAGGGCTTGGTTGCGCGGATACCCTATCCAGAGATACCCGAAGAAGATTTTGTTTGTCTCTAGTACAACTTGCGGTACCAAGGACAACAGAATCTAAGCGTCTTTTACTGGTTTGAATTATTGTGTTTAGACTCGGGGATATTATTTTCCTTGTTGTATGCTGGAAGACCATTCAAAACAACACAGAGATGTATTAGAACTTCATGTTTGTGTCTTGGGGCATAATAAGTCAGGCATCATCAGCGACAACTCAACAGTCACCTATAACCATCATCTAGCGCTCACAAAGGGCAACCCCCCTTCCTCACCTTGAAACCCTACAACAAACCATGCATGGCTTGGAGAACCGGTTGTTTCCCTTTTTTTTATCGCCTTCGTCGTCTGTAGTACGAAGAATCACAGAACTAATGCTCGGCCACACACCACCAACCACATACAAATATCGATGGACTTTGGGGTGGTTGGGGGAATACCAGATGACACACACAACTGACGAATTCACGAAATTGGATGACGATTCCTCTTCTTCTTGTTCTCACTTTGTTTACCAAAACCTGGTGTGGGGATCACTTTTTTCTTGATTCTTCTTCGACGGCCTTTACCATATTCCATCCGGAATTGAAAAAATCGAGTATAAATGAAATGCTCAATGTACCTACCGGTCCACACGTATGTTTGATTGCCAGTTGTGTTGGATCCGCATCAGGGATATATATGCGTACGCGCCTGTGAAGCATTTTTAATTTCGTGACCGACTGCGTCGAACTGCACATTATGATTTCTAAAAGCATTCACATCCGTCTGGGGAAGATCCTGAAAATCACATCCATCATTCATATATTAAGTATGCATATCGTAGGACATAATCTCACCAAACCCACGCGAGGGACGAATTTCCGATCAGATGACATCAGATCAGAGCTGATATTTTTTTTAAGGATGATCTGCGCCATGTACAATACGTACCTCACCAACATGACACACACACACAACTAAACAACCACCACGCACAGTACACTACCCAGAACCACTCCACCGGGTCGGCATCGTCATGTACAGACGATCACCACTTACACTAAAAAGAGAAATGAGCTGAGTCCGCTTAATTCCTGCTGAGTCTAGACTCTAGTCTAACAAGTTACATGTGTAATTGTACGTTGTGTGCATGAATGAGCCCTCTAAAAAAAAAAAAAAAAAAAAAAAAAAAAAAAAAAAAAAAAAAAAAACAGTACCGGATGGAGTTGCGGGGCCATGGACTTGAAGTTTAAGTTCGGTTTGTGAAGGTTACTGTGGTTGGTACCGAGTCCGGAGGGGACTACAGTAACCCACCGTCTCGATACATACCGAACTGTTGAATGTCCAAGTCGTCGGTTGCAAAGGGGAACAATGGTCGACACCTAGTTACACTAGGTGGTTTTGTTAAGCTTTCAACTTGAGTCGAGTCAAGCTAGTTTGGTTTGCTAGTTTGCTAACAAAACTTTTGCAAGTACCAGATCGGAATCCACGAAGGAGGTCCAACCAACACCTCGGCTTCGCTTTCTCAGCTGGTTTTCTTGGGAGCCTTGGCTGTTGAGGCTCCTCAGCCGCTGGTTGTCTTTCACTCGTGCACACACACATATAATCCAAGTAGAAGCGCGGCACCATTCCGAGCTGAACCCGCTGGACTGCTCAAGTGTCGATCTTGACAGCGGAATTCAGTCAAAATGGCGTAGCGTGCATGACCTGCCAGGCCGTCACTGTGCCCATTTCCAACCGTTCTTTGTTTCTTTCCATCCATCAGCCGTTCGTCCCCGTTGCTTGGATTCTGTATTTTGTTTTTCTTATGTGGTAAGGGAGAAGGAAGAAGAATTAGAAACACAAAGGGAAAAAGCCAAGTGTCGTTGGTGAAGTTGGGGGAGAAGCTTAAAGGTGTATTTTCGGTAATGGATATCGAGGACACCTAACAAGCAGTCGTCTGGGACTTGACATGCGGAGCTGTCCTGTCATGATGAAAATTTCTGTTTGCAAAGATCCACCATTATGACTCCTTTTTCTTCACATGATATTTTTCTTTTTCAAAGACAAAAGAAGAAAGAGTTTTTTTTTGGGGCAGATCATCCATCGAAGAATTCAAGAAAAAGGGGCAGCAACCAAACAACACAGGAGGTTGGCTTCTTAAACTCCGTATTTCGGAGTCCAAACACCGTGACCGTCAAAACACACGATGGTTGACAAGTAGGCGCGCTAGAACAAAGCGGGAAAGGCTAGCGTCCATCACTCACTCCCGTCCATCTTTCTTTCCCCGCAAAATCCCACCAACCAGATGTGCTAGGGTCGTTGCGCCAACCTCGGGACTTGGCGCGGGGTAGGGGGTGTGCAGTGGTCGGTCGCCCAGGACGGGACGGGAATGGCAGACAAAGGAATGGTCTCGGCTTTTGGCCATTTGACAACCGGGAGATGGTTGGCGATTTCTCGCTGTTTTTGTTGGATAGGTAGGTAGTTGAAATTGCTGGAGCTGTGAAGACCTGACAAATTCAAGAGATTCTTGCGAGAAAAATGCAACGTGACGGTCTGAACTCTTTATGACTCCAACAGCGTAGCATTCATTCACCGATATCCGGCGACCATTTCAGCCCCAGCAGCCCAGGTCGAGACCGAGATCGCTCTTAGCTCCAATGACTCTCTCTCTCTCTCTCTCTCTCTCTCTCTCTCTCTCTCTCTCACCTCTCTTCTCCACCATCTCTACCGCAAGAGGCTCAAAAGGTACCGGCCCCGTCACCGTCACCGTCTCCATCCATCCATTCAGCCCGGCCGCCCTCGTCGTCCATCATCACTTTCTCCACCGCCTCCGCTGCCAAACCTAAACACGACACACACTTGCACTGCGGCTCCGTTGCCATGACATAAACGATCCCAAATGCTAATTCCTTCTGTCGAAAAATGTCACCACATTCGCGATAGGGCCGAGGCTTCAAGGGATCGACCTACCTAACACGGTATAGTAGCAAATGTACGCCAAGACGCATGGAGCGAGTCAAACACCTTATGTAGCTTACTGTCCAGGGTTGTGTTGTTGTAAAAGCGAAATCGCTTGCATATTATGTACAAACTTGTATGTAAGTGGTGGGCCTAAAGGAGGAAGAAACCCGACTCCCCCCAAAAAAGAGGAATCGGCCCCGAGAAGACGAGACATGAAGGGGCACTTTTTTCTAAGAAAGAAAGTGAGTACAAGACGGGATTTTACTTGCGAAACTTGTAGAACAGAAACGACAGGCGACAGGCGACAGCCAAACGGGAATGGCGTGACGCCTACCGTTCGTTTCGTTGTGTGTGTGTATATGTCTTGGTTTCACAAGAGTTCCCCGTGGAAGCAAGCTGATGAAATGGAAGGATAGAATGGAGTTGGAATGGTTGCGTGCGTCTTCCTTTCTTCCTGTACTACCTGCGTACACGTGCATAGGAGTCATGGTGGTCGTGGTGGTTAGCTCCAGGGGAGACAACATCAAAAAGTGACAAAGGCGACAAAAGAAAAGTGATCGTAGGTATACATACCATCAGTCACCCCGCCTTTCCCTTTTCCTCGTCTCCAATCCCGTCCTCCGGGAACGCTCTCCCGAACACCGAGCTTGCCTGAGTCTGGAAAGTTGTCCGTCGGGGGTCGGGACCCCTGGACGGAGCCCAAAGTCTAAACAAGTGGACTGGACGGACCGTGGATGCAACAATGACAACGGATTGGGAAAGGCTAGGGTAGAGTTCCCCAATGGTCAATGGTGGAGGCGACACCGTCGATCCAGGTCACCATCGGCCATCCACCGGCGCACCCAAGTGTGTCCGTTCGTTGTGTCACACTCATCCAATTATACGTGAGCCATCGAGAAGACCGTGTGTAATGGAACACACTTTGAAAGAAGGGGATTGACGCCAGAGATCCTTGGTCAGTCATGTACTCATGTATGTACCATGCCAGATGCAACCATCATATCTGCACTGATGCACCGACCCCGACCGGTCGGCCTCCGCCGTGTCTGTCCGCAGTGCGTCTTCGATACATGTTGACACCGCGTCCGACCCGTACCCAAGTACTTAAACCTCGAATCCCCGTTGCATGGCCGATCGTTCGCAGATCTCCTCCCCCTTCTACAGCTTCCTATAAACGACACTTCTTTCCCCCCCCTCCCCCTTTCCCTCCCTCACCTTTACCGTTCTTGTAGGTAGTTCTAGGTGGATGTTGCTCGGGAACCAGAAGCTGTAAGACAATAATCATGTCCGATATCAAGGACCGTAAGTTGAATCCTTACTCTTCTCCTTCACGTTATTTCACGTTACCTCACACACACACACGTCACATTCTAACATGATATCACAGTCTCCCTCGAGGAGAAGACCCATCATGACCCTTCGGGGTTCAGCAGCTCCGACAAGGGCGCCGAGGCCGGCCGCATCTCCTACGACGTTGGTCCGAACTCCCCCACGACCGCAACTGCTCTCTCGCCGCCCGAGGGCACCACCGAGGCGGCCATTGTGCGCAAGATCGACCGACACATCATCCCCTTCATCATTTTCCTTTACCTGCTCGCCTTTTTGGACCGAGTCAACATCGGCAACGCCCGCTCCTTTGGACTCGAGGCCGACTTGGGGCTGGAGAAAGTCGAATACAACACGGCCCTAACCATCTTCTTCGTCCCCTACATCATCCTCGAGATCCCCGGCAACATCCTGATGAAGAAGTTCTCGCCTCGCGTCTGGCTATCCATCTGCTGCGTCGGCTTCGGTCTCGTCTCCATCTTCCAGGGTCTGGTGCAGAACTACGGCGGTCTACTAGCCACCCGTTTCTTCCTCGGCGTGTTCGAGTGCTCCATGTTCCCCGGTTGCTTCTTCCTCCTCGCCTCCTGGTACAAGCGCGCCGATGCGCAAAAGCGGTACTCGCTCTTCTTCTCCTCCACCTCGCTGGCGGGCGCCTTTGGCGGCCTGCTGGCCTCCGCCATCGGCAAGATGGACCACTTACAAGGCTACCGCGGCTGGCGCTGGATTTTCATCGTGGAGGGTTGCGTCACCTTTTTAGCGGGCGTTCTCTTTTTCTTCACCTT